ATCTTCAATAAAGGTAAGTGTCATTTATTCTTCATTTAGTAGACTAGTACATGCACAATATATACTGTGCATGTACTACTCTACTATTGTGCATGTATCCTTCTCTTTGTGTGTGGGAAAATGTATATTTCATGTGGTAAAAATTTTTTTTTTTCATACTTTTGGGTGTCTTGCACGGATTAATTTTATTTCCATTATTTCTTATGGGGAAAATTCATTCACATACCGATTATTTCGCATAACAATTACCCTCTTGCACGGATTAAAATCGTTTTATGCGGGGGTCCACTGTATATGAATATATCTTTTGTCTTATATAAATTAGATTCACTTATAATTAATAATCTACTGTACAATTAAGATATAATTAATATTCTACTGTACAACTTTGATATAATTCTTAGTGTTAAGTAGCCAATAATGTTAAGTTGGCCAATAATGCCTAGGCATAACAGAGGCTCTCTCTGCATTGCAACCCATTATTGTAAATACATAATCTCAATGTACTATTTGCCAAGACATAAATTAATAAATAAATAAATAAATAAATAAATAAATAAATAAATAAATAAATAAATAAATAAAGGTCATTAACCCTTTCAGGGTCCAGAGGCCAAATTTCAAAGTGCACACCAGGGTCCAAGAAGTTTCAAAAACTAATTTTGTTACTTTTTCTTATGAAATGGTAGAGAATCTCTTTCTGAAGGTAATAAAACAAAAAGTACGAAATTTGATGGAAAATTGACGAAATTATGCTCTCGCGAATTTTGATGTGTCAGCGATATTTATGCATCAGCAATTTTGCCAACTTTGACTCCCATTTTAGGCCAATTACAGTATTCCAGTCAACCAAATTCTTAGCTATTTCACTAGTATTACTTCTATTCTATCAAATGACCAAAAGAAATCGCCAAGTCAACTGTTTCAACAACAAAATAAAGTGACCGGAAATTGGTAATTTGGCCAATTTAATGCAAAGTTCAAAATACTCCAATTTCAAAATAGGGTCTAGAACAAACAATGCAGGCATTCCTGGCATTAAACTAACATTTCCTCTGTTCATTAGTTATGTTTTCAGGCTTTACAAATGAATTCCATTTTGATTTTTTATTCACACAATTAATTTTTATTCAAACCAAAAAATAGAAGATTTATTGTTATGCAATACTGTAATAATTGTATAAATAATATCACCACATTTGTGAATGTATATCAAACCCACCAGCTGTCATATTAGACTTGTGAGGTCATTTGTTTACTCTTGAACATCGGCCAAAATTTAACATTTCTGCTACTTTGAGCTCAGTTTCAAGCTATTTCCAGTACTAAAAACCAATCAAAATCATCTCTATTTCTGTAGTATATCTTCCATTCTATTAAATGAGACCAAGGAATTACAAATACAACTTTAAAAAACATACAAAAAACACTGCAAAGTCAGGTACATGTCACCACCGCCCCCCCCCTCCGGCTCAGACCAATGACACACCTAGTCAGGTCACATCCATTGAAGGAAGGAGCATGACATCAGACCTAGTAGCACAAGCTAGTCAGGTCCAACTCACGCCTACCCACACTCACTCATTTTTTATTATTATTTTTTTTATTATCACACTGGCCGATTCCCACCAAGGCAGGGTGGCCCGAAAAAGAAAAACTTTCACCATCATTCACTCCATCACTGTCTTGCCAGAAGGGTGCTTTACACTACAGTTTTTAAACTGCAACATTAACACCCCTCCTTCAGAGTGCAGGCACTGTACTTCCCATCTCCAGGACTCAAGTCCGGCCTGCCGGTTTCCCTGAACCCCTTCATAAATGTTACTTTGCTCACACTCCAACAGCACGTCAAGTATTAAAACCATTTGTCTCCATTCACTCCTATCAAACACGCTCCCCGCATGCCTGCTGGAAGTCCAAGCCCCTCGCACACAAAACCTCCTTTACCCCCTCCCTCAAACCTTTCCTAGGCAGACCCCTACTCCGCCTTCCTTCCACTATAGACTGATACACTCTTGAAATCACTCTGTTTCGCTCCATTCTCTCTACATGTCCGAACCACCTCAACAACCCTTTCTCAGCCCTCTGGACAACAGTTTTGGTAATCCCGCACCTCCTCCTAACTTCCAAACTACGAATTCTCTGCATTATATTCACACCACACATTGCCCTCAGACATGACATCTCCACTGCCTCCAGCTTTCTCCTCGCTGCAACATTCATCACCCATGCTTCACACCCATATAAGAGCGTTGGTAAAACTATACTCTCATACATTCCCCTCTTTGCCTCCAAGGACAAAGTTCTTTGTCTCCACAGACTCCTAAGTGCACCACTCACCCTTTCCCCCTCATCAATTCTATGATTCACCTCATCTTTCATAGACCCATCCGCTGACATGTCCACTCCCAAATATCTGAATACATTTACCTCCTCCATACTCTCTCCCTCCAATCTGATATCCAATCTTTCATCACCTAATCTTTTTGTTATCCTCATAAACTTACTCTTTCCTGTATTCACTTTTAATTTTCTTCTTTTGCACACCCTACCAAACTCATCCACCAATCTCTGCAACTTCTCTTCAGAATCTCTCAAGAGCACAGTGTCATCAGCAAAGACCAACTGTGACAACTCCCACTTTATGTGTGATTCTTTATCTTTTAACTCCACGCCTCTTGCTAAGACCCATGCATTCACTTCTCTTACAACCCCATCTATAAATATATTAAACAACCACGGTGACATCACACATCCTTGTCTAAGGCCTACTTCTACTGGGAAATAATTTCCCTCTTTCCTACATACTCTAACTTGAGCCTCACTATCCTCGTAAAAACTCTTCACTGCTTTCAGTAACCTACCTCTTACACCATACACCTGCAACATCTGCCACATTGCCCCTCTATCCACCCTGTCATACTTCTTTTCCAAATCCATAAATGCCACAAAGACCTCTTAGCCTCATCTAAATACTGTTCACTTATATGTTTCACTGTAAACACCTGGTGCACACACCCCCTACCTTTCCTAAAGCCTCCTTGTTCATCTGCTATCCTTTTCTCCGTCTTACTCTTAATTCTTTCAATAATAACTCTACCATACACTTTACCAGGTACACTCAACAGACTTATCCCCTATAATTTTTGCACTCTCTTTGATCCCCTTTGGCATGCTCTCTGCCAATCCCTAGTTACCTTCCCTTCTTCCATACATTTATTAAATAATTGCACCAACCACTCCAAAACTATATCCCCACCTGCTTTTAACATTTCTATCTTTACCCCATCAATCCCAGCTGCCTTACCCCCTTCTTTTTTTACTTACTGCTCACGAACTTCCCCACACTCACAACGGGGCTCTTCCTCACTCCTACAAATGTTATTCCTCCTTGCCCTATACACGAAATCCAGCTTCCCTATCTTCATAAACATTTAACAATTCCTCAAAATATTCCCTCCATCTTCCCAATACCTCTAACTCTCCATTTAATAAAAACTCTCCTCTTCCTATTTTTTAACTGACAAATCCATTGTTCCTAGGCTTCCTAACTTGTTAATCTCACTCCAAAACTTTTTCTTTTTTTTCAACAAAATTTGTTGATAACATCTCACCCACTCTCTCATTGCTCTTTTTTTTACATTGCTTCACCACTCTTTTAACCTCTCTCTTTTTCTCCATATACTCTTTTGCTCCTTGCATCACTTCTACTTTGTAAAACTTCTCATATGCTAACTTTTTCTCCCTTACTACTCTCTTTATATCATCATTCCACCAATCGCTCCTTTTCCCCTCCCACACCCACTTTCCTGTAACCACAAACTTCTGCTGAACACTCTAACACTACATTTTTAAGCCTACCCCATACCTCTTCGACCCCTTTGCCTATGCTCTCATTAGCCCACTATCCTCCAATATGTTTATATCTTACCCTAACTGCCCCCTTTCTTTTAGTTTTATAAACGTTCACCTCTCTCTTTCCCTGATGCTTCTATTCCCCTTGTATCCCATCTACCTTTTACTCTCAGTGTAGCTACAACTAAAAAAGTGATCTGATATATCTGGGGCCCCTCTATAAAAAATTACACTCACTCATGTATTTATCTAACCTATTTTTAACTTTCCTCTTAAAATGGGAGTGTTAATGCAAAAATGGCATCAGTGAATCCCTAGTGTTTGCCATGCCTATTGCTCTAGCGGGTGCTCAATTGAACTATGCTACCACAAGGTACTAAGTGCTCCCAGATTTTTTTAATAGTGCACACAACCGATTGCACAGACCCATTCTTTTCATGTCTAGGCGACTCAAGCCTATTGTGCCAAATTCAAAAGAATGAAAAATAAAATGTTGATCTTCTTTTTGGAGCAATACCATGCAAACGTAGATCTACGTTTGGACAGTTTAAAGGTTAATACATTCAATAATTTTTTTTTTTCAACAGTCGGCCATCTCCCCCCCGAAGCAGGGTGACCCAAAAAAAAAACACTTTCACCATTATTCACATATAACCACTGTCTTTGCAGGGGAACCCAGATACAACAGTTTAGATGTCAATCCTAACAGCCAATATCCCAAATCCTCCTTTACAGTGCAGGCATTGTATTTCCCACCTCCAGGCTAAAGTCCAGCTAACCATTTCCCTGAATTCCTTCACAAAATATCACCCTGCTCAACACTCCAACAGTTCGTCAAGTCCCAAAAAATTCATCTCCATTCACTCCTAATACACTCACAAATGCCCGCTGCATGCCCAACCCAACCTGGAAATATTTTTTGGGTTCAGAAAGCAAAATAAGACACCAAATAATTATTTGCTGTACAAATAATTAAAAAACATTAACACAAAAGGCATACAAATACATCACTTACCATGTGAACGAACTTTTTCAGCCGCCTCCTCACTATGAGGCTCGACTCTGACAAGGAGCGTGTAAAGTCGCCTACCAAGTCCTGGTGAGGCGAATGATGGGCATGATGGGATCATGGTGGTGATGTGAGAGGGATGAGAGTGGTCACTAGAAGAGTGGTGTGGAGATAGCTTGGGACTATGCCACTGCCACAAGCACCAGCCTTGAGAGATCCTCCACCCACGCTGCGCGGCGTTTACGAGAAAATGGACTGCGCTCGTTGCTCCCTGTTGAGTAATTATATTTTGGGACAGGCCAGAATCAATACACATTTAAACACTAAGAAAATTTAAACAAAGTAAATTTTCAAATTATTAAATTTGAAGAGTGCCCACCAGACATAACGTTTGTGACTTTTTTTCTTTGGGGCATGTGAAGAGCACGGGTTTAGGTACAACCACTACCTGCAACCCTGGAGGAGCTGAAAATTTCGATCACTGTAGCAGTTTGCATAACACCAGATATGCGCAGGTGTCTGGACCAAACTGGACTATAGCATCGATGTTTGCCGAGCAACCACAGGAAGCACATTGAGTGCCTTTAATGCTACCTTATGCCACATGAAACTGAATGAAATCCTGCATCTGAAGCTAATAACTGTGAAAAATTATTACAATAAAGTTACATGTTATACTTGTTTGAAATCAGGGAGTGTTTTTGGGGAAAACCCTGTATATTAAGCGAGCAATAGAGCTAGGCCAAAAAAATCCCCATACATTACGTACCTTAAAAATATTTTCGTCCTTAGCTGATAGTGAGTGGTGAACATATTTACTGTAGGAAGTCTAAATAAATGAAAAATGTGTATAACTAAAAACCGCTGTATTAGCAAAACGCTGTAAAATGAAGTCCTGTAAAGCGAGCCTTCCTGTAGCTGTATAAAGTTCATATACAAGATTTTATAGGTTGAATGCTGAACTGTTTCATAATATGCAGGTGTCTGCTCTCTACAGAGGCGTCGCTAGGGTTGGTGTCACCTGGGGCAGAATCTTTGGTGTCACCCAGGGTGGCATCTTTGGTGTCACCCCTATGAAATCCAAGGGCAGGGGGATGCGGGTAGTAAACTCCAGTTACATCACTGCTGCATGCCCAATGACTAATGTTTAGCAATGACAACATTTAAAGGCTGTTATGGGGCTATAGGACCCAACATGTATTTATAAGTAACAGTTACTCTGGAATACCTAATTATATTGAATTGATGGGGACTTTGCTCTAAATGTCATAAGGGCTGATCACTCTTATGACTGAGAGGCAGCTGGGTCAAGCCTTTTTTCTCAATATAATAGGTTATACTATAGACACACAAACACATAATTTAAACAAGTAGTTTATAAAGTTGTATTTCTTTTGTAACAGTAAAATAAGGTATAGTAGAATTGTGGTAACAAGAGAACTGTGCTTGGCAACAGTCTTTTGTTTTGGTGGGATGAGTTTAGCTAGGCTCCTCCCTCTCCCCTTGTCTCTCTCTCTCTTCTCTTGTTGACATGGAGGTGGCAAGATCTCTGGGTCCTTCTTTCTATCTTTTGGGGCATTATGTGTGCTCCAGGGTGAGTTTTTATAACTTAATTTTGTGGCCACCATACCCAGGGTGACTAAAGTGTGTCAAAAACACTGGTTAGTCCAGAGTTAATCAAGAAAGAGGACAAAATTGTTGGGATACACCATGTGGAAACAGTTATGGAGTGTGTAGATCTTTGTTTTGAAAATGTGAGGCTGTAATTGTATATTCTGTACATATCTATTGAGAATACAGTTATATTTTTATAGTAGTAGCTTACAAAACCCTGGGGAAGAAGGCTGGTGAAGGATATCAGACATCAAGATGATCAGCCAAGATTAAGTATTACCTCTAAACAGATAAGGCCATTAAGTAAAAAGCTACCCCACACTAGAAAAATTTAGAAGAACCTTACTATCAAAGTAATAAGGGAAAAACCAACGTAACATGGGAGCTTGCCCGGGAGAGTTATTTGACTGGAAAAATAACTCAAAATATTCTTTGAACTAATGTATGGTATGGAGTAATAACAGTTGCATGTTTCTGGTAGAAGATTTACCAAGGTGGTGTCAGTGGAAGTGTTGTTTTCATATATTAGTTTACAGGTTTTTTTTCCCTCCTAAGGTGGGAGAAAGGTGAGTAACACATATTTGTTGGGGTTATGGAAAGTGCTATGTGCATATTTTACATTCAATTTGTGTTATTTTATGTGCCTGTGGGAAAACTTTGTCCACTGATACTGTAAGAGGGAAAGCAGTGTTTAAAGATAAAAACATGTCAGAAGATGAGTCTTTAAATGTTTTAGGCTTCGGGGAAAAAGGGTAAAAAATCATCAGTAAACATGCCTGGTAACAGGAACATGAGGGATCACCTACCCCAGGTTTACAGAAAGGGAAATTTGGATGAGACTAAAATTTAGCTGTGCTAGAGGCTGAAATTAAATTAATGAAGCTAAAGGGGAAAGATTGTCAAAGGGTTTTGAGGTTCAGAACAAGAGCCTGAGCGTACTTTAAACATACTAAAGACGCAAATTTTGTCCCTTAAGTTTACAGAGTGACCCAGTAGATATTTTTCTTTTTTTGAGAAGACTGCTTTGGAGCAAGGATGGCCCAAACAGAAGTGGGCTCCCCTAGTTCGCACACAACTTTTTGGTTTAAAGGATTCCAGAGAGTAGAGACTCTGGGGGCAAAATTTTTCTGATTATAAATAAGATTAAAGAGGAAGTATTGCTTGCATACCAAATGATACCTGAAAATATAAAACAAAAGTTCAGGAATCAAAAATTTCAGGATGGCAACCTTAACTGAGTTTGGGAATGAGAAACTGTTCCTTTTTAAGAAATGGGTTTTTCCCAAAAGGAGTTAATAAAGACTAAAAACAAATTAGTAGATCTGATGGTTCATGAGGAATTGTACAATACAATCCCTGTTGACCTCAGAGAATATTGGAGGACAAAAACCCAGATAATCTTTCAGAAGCACGGGATCTAGGTGACCGATTCTTGGCTCGCGGGAAAATTGGTAAGTAAAAAACAGTCATGCTGCTTTTAAAAATTTCCCCACTCATTCTAAACCTTATTCCAAGTCCTAGGGTCATAAAGGTAAGTGGGACAAGAATTTTCAGGGACAAAGAAGGCTGGGGTGCCCTCTAAAACAGAAGGAAAAGGTAAGTCGGCTGGAGTTCAAATTTTACCTAGACAATCAGATAATGCTTCAGGTCCTCAAAGTAAACGTACCAGTCCTACACCAATGGTAAAATACCTTTAAGAGTTTTATCTGTTACTACTGTAACAAAACTGGACACACACAAAAGTTTTGCTGGTCAAGGCAGCGAGATCAGGAAAGGGAGGAACCATCCCAGGGACCCTAACTGAAGAGATACATCCAGTTGCCTGCCTTAGGTCTTCAAGGCAAGGTGAGGGGGAACCTTTGGATCTAGACCCCAGGGTTGTATATTTTCTAGTAGGGCCACAGTTGGTTTGCAAAAGAATGTAGGCAAGTTGGGGAACATATTGTCCTTGAGAGATGGATGTAGCACCTACTCTTTGCTATGTACTGGAGTGCTGCCAGTGTCTAAGGATACCTATACTGGGGTAGATATATTGTTTAAAGGTTTTTACGGGTTCAACCATAAGACACCTGTACACAAAAATTTTGGGTAGAATCTGCATACCAAGTTTGGGTATCTCCCTGTAGTATGTCAGATGAAATTCCCTTCGAAGGGTCGACCTCTTATTAGGGGAAAAATGTTATGGGCCTGTTAGACAGTGAGGAACAACTAGTTTGGGGGAAACCAAGTCCCAAATGTCCCAAATGTTGGGAGGAAATGGCTAGGAAAACCCTGCCAAGCTTCTCCTGATGGTTTCCCCATGAGAAGTATGGCTCATGATCATGCTAAACCCAAAAGTCTTCATGATATTTCTCATGAGGAAGGTGAGGGCTTAAGTTTGGAAACTCGTTTTCTGATGTTGAACCCGCAGTCAACTGAAAAAAGGATGTTCCAGCCAGAGCTAGCATGACTGGAGAATGGATCAGTTAATTAGTGTGAGAGAGGCTGCACCTGCTAGGGTGCAATTAATTTCTGTGCAGAAAATGTCGCTGTTGCTGAGGGAAAAGATTTTACAGTTAAGTAAATGTTTTCATTTCAGGAGGAAACTCTACAAAGAAATTTACCTCTGTTTGCAGTATCGAGGAAGGAGAACAAGGGTTTTGTCCAAGATGGTGATGTCCAAGGTTTCCAGGGATTTCTTCTGGTCTCAGCTGTGGGAGACTGTCAGAAAGTATATTGGAAAACCCATCATGTCTCTCAGTTTATAGGGAAACCTAGTCGAAGTATTAAAAACCCGTTCCCCTTCAGTCTATTTCAGCACCAGGTGAACCCTTCAGCAAGCTGGTAGTAGATGTACTTGGTCCATTCCCAAGGACCAAACTTGGAAATGATTATTTACTCACAAATATTTGCTCCACTACCAGGTACCTGGAAGCAGTCCCTCTGCATAAGATAACGGCTCGTGTAGTCTTAAGGGGTTTTTATGAAGTTCTTTTTTCATGTTGGTTTCCTCAAGAGGTGCAAAAACAAGGGCCTAACTTTACCTCAAAATCTTTTAGAAATGTTTTGAAGGAATTAAAAGTAGAGCCTAACTTTGCAATGGCCTATCACCCTCCATCTCAAGGGGAAATAGAGAAATTACATCAAGCCCTCAAGACAATGATGCAAGCCTATGGTATAGACAATACTAACAACAGGGATGAAAGGATCCCTTTCTTTGTATTTGCTGAGTGGGGAAGCACTCTGGAATCTCTGAGCTATTGGCTTGGGGAGGATGGTAATGCTCCCCCCTCGGAGCTTTTTCTCAGTTTCAGACACTGTTTGGCTCGTATGAGGTGGATGGTACCAGTGAACGTGCCCATCAACCCGACCAGATATGTGGACCATAATGTGGACCATGATACTCTGGAGGCTGGAGAGGAAGTGCTGATACTGGAGCCCCAAATTTATGTGAAAATCTGTATGGCAAGCTGCTGTGAGCTGAACATGTTGTGGGGGGAAGTTCCCAGGGGTTAGATATAAAACCCACACCCCAAGCAAGAAAAGAATGAGTATAGTGTACACAGTACCGGTTAAAGGGGTTTTAAGTTATGTCAAAAATTCAGAGGACCAATGTTTTAATGGAATGTAAAGGGCTGCAAAACAATAATCTGTATTTTAATACCAAAAATGTATTTA